TCGGTGAGTTATTTTGATGGAATGGCTGATGTCCGTCCGATATTTAACTTTATCGCTAATATCGGCCGATACCGATACCATGCCGATAATATTCTGCATCCCTAAGCCAGTCCATTTTTAATTTGATTTTACACTTTTGTTGTTCACTTTTATTGCTTTTAACGGTCTTGCCCCACCATTTTTTAGCTGATCTAGTAGCTTTCTTGTCTCTAAGTCCAAATACGAACATTGAGGTGACGGGGACTTGTAGGTTGCTTCAACCAGACTGTGGAACCAATTAGCTCAGGACTTGCGCTGACAAATTAGGATTTCATTGTTAAAAAAAGAAGAATGATTAAGTTGCACTTTATTAAGTCTTCCCAGGCCTGCCTGCATCCTGCATGGTAAAAAGCAGAGAAGGGTAGAGGGACACTAGAAAGTTCCTGGAGAAACTTTGATGGGGACTGCTACGCTACTGCCAACTTCAATTGTTGATTCGACAGTACTAAGTGTTGGGCTTCGCTCTCAGCTAGCACTATACCAAATTTCAGTTCAATATGGCAAAAATCAACAAGTTCTAGTCATTTAATTATTTTAAGCTATGGTGGCCATCTTAGATTTTTTATTTGGATTCAGTATGTGATGGGGAACATTTTCAACCACACCAAATTTCAGCTCCGTATGTGTAAAAACAGCTGAGGTAAATCCAATTTAATATAGCTTTGGCAGCCATCTTGAATTTTTTATGGGTTCCGGCAGGCGTTTTTAATGAGGAAAAAGGGCTTCTTTGTTTGCAAATTACATCACCATGGTAACTCAAAACGCCAATAAACGCAATAGCGCGCATCAAGGTGCCGAGCTGGTCGTTTTGATGTAACATTTTTGGGGGTACGAATTGCGGTTCGGGCCACATTAAAGTTGATAGAAGGGTAAGATATAAAGTTAAGAAACCCTTGTTAGGTGGATAATAATAGGTGCTGCCTTCCTAGGAAGTCCCAAATAATAAATGTTGTTTTTTTTAGTACGGAAAGTTCAATCTTGTGCAACTCCAGCACGTCTCGAGGCATTCATAAGAGAGTCAGAAACCTGTTGTCTCTTTGATCTTGTGTTTTCCCTTCAACTCAAAGCCTGTGGGAGATGCAAGATGTGCCGCCGGGATGGCGTTCGGTTCAACTCATTCTATTAATATTACAGCCGAAAAACCTGCAGGAACGGCTTGTTTACACAGAGGAGAAGTTTGTGTGCTCTGCCAAATCCTCGAACAAAAGATGCGCCATTTAGACGCTGGAAAGGATGGTTGTATTTGTATAGAGATTTAAGAGCTTTAAAAACGGTGAATGCTTTTGCACCGACTGCGCAAAAGAAAAGTAAGTGTGGTTGACAAACACGGTCAATATTAAAAGCAGAGATTTTATTATTGGTTTTATATTAAAACATAACTAGAGGTCTTTTCCCTTTAGAAATAACATTGAATAAATTGTATTTCTATTTTTTGCACAAGTCCAGGCGCTCCTTGGTGCATTCTTTGTCTCTGCTGTAGATCTCACTCATCTTTTCTGACCATGGAGACCAGGAGAGAAGAGAAAAGAAAAAGGAGCGAGCAACACTAACTCTCAACATTCCCAGAGATTATCAGCCATCTTAATCCAAGTGAAGCATCCATAAGTGTTCCAGTACATATATCACTTAATCATGTTTAAAATTGATTTTATGTGCCTAGCTTTAACTTTAAATCCTATCTAATTTCTAGCTTTTTTTTTTTTTCAAATCACTTTTCTTAAATGAACCTATTGAATCAGATATTCCCGCACAAAGCTGAAGCAGCTCCTGACAGCATCGTCACTATCCACACGTCACAGACAACTTCACCGCCTTGACAGGCTGCGAGTGTGAGAGATTATGAAAACAGCTCACCAGTGACAGAAGCGTTACGAGACGACGGTGCGTCCAAACAGTCTGTCGCCGTCAGCCGAAAAGCAGACGGCTAAAGGAGACGCATGTCAACACATGATGCTGTGATATGTGGGAACATGTTGACGTCTCCTCCCCTGCCTGGTCTCTGCAACGCTGACTGTGTGCGTCTGCTCGAGTTTTTATTAATCTGAAAACAAAAACGCCTCATAAACCATTTTATGGATTGTAATGAAACTATCATTGGATGCTAAAACGTATTGAAAACAGTGAAAATTTGCCAGATGTGGAGACAAACTTTGGTGTGGTAGTAGCTGAGAGTCATCATCAACTAGGCTCGTCGCGATAAACAATAAATCAATTAATCGCATGATAAATGAAAATTATCGACCTCGTTTTCATTTATCGGCTTTATCGTTTCTTTGTGCCTCTCTTTCTTCTAAAGTCACTGGATGACAAAAGGCTCAACTCCGGTGTTTTCACTGACCACTCCCTTTCTCTTTGAAATCTGTTTGAACCGTCTAAAATCGCGTTTGTGGATCGATAAAAGCCGCTAAGCTACGAGCTAAGCTAACAGGCCGACCTCGGGGAAAAAACTTCCGTCTTGTCGAAGCTCAAAAATTCACGGTTGGAACCCGTGCCTTCGTGTAAAAAGTTTTTCTTTGCAAACAGAAGCTGAGAACTTGTTTACCGATTTTTTTTATTAAAAGCTTTGTGTGAAAAATGCTACGCTAAAGAGCTCAAACCACACCGAGCGTCCACCGTTTTGAGAACCGAAAAAAAGGAAAGACAGCCCATGTCACATCAAGGGGCCTCCCTCCCATTTTTTCTTAAAGAGACACGCTGCTCGCTCCCTCACTATCCATCCTTCGGTTCAAACAGTCTTATACTGCCATCCGGTGGCCAAAAAATTACTACATGCAAAACAAATTCGATATTTAAATTTAAATAATAACTAATTGTGAAATCTCAAACAATATTATCGTTTATCGCAATAATTTCTGAGAAAATTCATCGCCCAGCAAAATTTGCTATCGTGACAGGCCTATCATCAACAGATACTCAGAGTGCTAACAGATCGCATGTTTAAACTTTTAGCATGTAAGGCGTCTTCCTTCAAGTGATGCCAGTTTTTATTTGTATTGTTTTCAACACCTGGCAAAGCTGTACGCAACATTTCTTTCTGATTTTCATGCACTTTTAACAAGATGCATTTAAAGTGTTAAGAGTTATTTACAGTTTTCCTTGAGTTTGGTGTAATTAATTAGTTCATGTTTTTTTTTCTGTTAAATCCCAGGGAGATCCCATGAAAATCAAAATATGTGTTGAGGACGATCTTTTCATGGCCAAATAGCAGCATGTGCTGCAGCTCTGCCGTTTTCATAAACCCTAATGTGTTTTTATGTTTACTCAGCCTCCGTTCCGTCCACAGTCTCCCCTGGTAGCTTGTTAAGAAACACTCACCCATCTGCTTCCCCTCCCGTTCCAGGTACGTGTCTGATTCTGGGTTGCATGATCTATCCCGACGGCTGGGACAGCGACGAGGTGAAACGGATGTGCGGCGAGCAGACGGACAAGTACACGCTGGGCGCCTGCTCGGTCCGCTGGGCCTACATCCTGGCCATCATGGGCATCATGGACGCGCTCATCCTCTCCTTCCTGGCCTTCGTTCTGGGCAACCGCCAAGACAACCTGATGTCCGAGGAGCTGCTGGGAGACAGTAAGACCAGTTAGCCAGGATTAATCACACACTCCAGGTGCTACTCACTGCACAAGAGCTTAGCTGTTGGAGTCAATCCTACTCGTTTGTTAGCAAAACATCTCACGAACCATCTGATGGAATCAGAACATAATGTTAAGTTCAGTTAATCATAGGCCTGTCACAATAAACAATAAATCGATTAATCAATTAATCGCATGATGAATGAAAATTATCGACCTCGTTTTCATTTATCGGCTTTATCGTTTCATCGCGTCTCTCTTTCTACTGAAGACACTGGATGAAAAAAGGCTCAACCACGGTGCTCTTCATCGACTCCCTTTCTCTTTAAAATCCATTTTAACGATCCAAAATCACGTTTTTGGATCGTTAAAAGCAGCTAAGCTGAGAAGCTAAGCTACGAGCTAAGCTAACAGGCCGATCTCGGGGATAAAAACCTCCGTCTTGTCAAAGCTACAAAATTCATGGTTGAAACCAGTGCCTTTGTGTACAAAGTTGTTTTTATCTGCAAAAAGAAGCTGAGAACGTGTTTACAGAGTTTTTTTTTTATTAAAAGCTTTGTGTGACATATGCTATGCTAAAGAGCTCAAACCACACCAAGCGTCCACCGTTTTGAGAACCGAAAAACAGGAACGAGAGACAGCCCACGTCACGTCAAGGGGCTTCCCTCCCATTTTTCTTAAAGAGACAAGCTGCTTGCTCCCTCACTATCCATCCTTCGGTTCAAACTGTCTTGTACTGCCATCCAGTAGTCGAAAAAAGGTACTACATGCAAAACAAATTAACCAACATTTTTTTCTTAAATTTGACATTAATTACCATTTTAAATTTCAAGCAATATTATTGTTTATCGCAATAATTTCTGAGACAATTCATCGCCCAGCAAAATTTGTTATCGTGACAGGCCTAGTTAATCAAAAGCTTATTTTTCTTTTGGCTTTGAAAGCAAAAAATGATTCAAACTGAAATCAGGACAAAGTCCAAACAAAGTTTTCTGCGTATTTAGGAAACATTAATTCTGTGACTTAAAGCCGCCCACATTTGTTTTCTGTTTAAGCTCAAAACAGTAATAATATTCTGCATCTTGCTGACATGAAGACCTTACGCCTGCTGCCAAACCTCATGCCCAGTCAGCAGCTGTATAATTAAAAATATCTATTTTTCTCCTCCAAAGTTCTTGATTTACAACAGATGAATGTTAAACACCACCTGCTTGGCTGCTTTTGCTTGCTTCTGTTGCAAATGAGATTGACACCTGTTCTCAAAAAGAAAACAATGTGGAAGGAGATGAAGAAGCAGCAACAGAACATGGGAAGAGAGAGAGAAAGATGGGCGTCCGAGAGGAAAACACACAAATAGCGGGGGTTAATTGAAGCCCGGGGATGCTGGACAGAGTCATGAATTACTAATGGCTGTTTACACAGCTTGCTGCCAGCCTGTCGAAATGAATCACAGCCACCGTATCAGCCGGGACACAGTTGTCTGTTGTATGAGCTGAGGATCTGAGAGGGAAAAGGCTGTAATAAACCAAAGGATCAGACAGGGCGGACAAGACAGAGGGGCAGAGAGGAGATAATGAGCCAAGGAAAGAGAGAGATATCAAAAGACACGACGCATAAGTAAAAATGGAAAATATATTCAAGTTTTATCTCATCACCCATGAATGTTGGACGTGACACCAACCTGTCCAAGGGACAGTAATGTCATGCATCTGCAGGGTTCAAATGTTGTTACAACACTGCCACCTGCTGGTTGTAAACTGTATTTACTCTCAAGCTTGACCTATTTCTTTGTTGTTGTTTTTTTTTTCTTCACCAGAAACTGGAAATAATGCAATATAAGTCCTGGAGAAGAACCACTTACAGGTCGGTATATGCTCAATAAATAAACAAACAAACTTTGACATTTGTTTGACGTTCATCAAAAAATATACAACAAAATAAAACTATAAAAGATGGAAACACATAGAAGTTTAAATGTGTTTGGTTTGTATTTATGGCAACTTAAGTGACGTAATTTAAAATCATTTTCAATTATTTCTTCTAAAAAATAAAATGCAATTATCCCCATGAATTTATAAGAATAAAAAGTTGAAAAGGTTAAAAAAAAATGATACATAGTAACTTCATTAGTTCACAAATGTGTCTAACTAGTTTAACATCACATTTAAAAAATAATCTAATTGTATGCAAACTTAATTAAATATGAAAACATTAATTAGTTTTACTTTTTTTTAATACAGTGTAAACATAAACATGACTTTTAAATGTTTTTCTTAACACACATCCATTTTTGATTTGTTTTCTTCTTGGAGTACTTTTACTAATTGAATTAATTACACACTAAGAATCTGTACTTTCTTTCTTACGGAGAGTAATATCTAAAGTTGGCAGCTAAAAAAAACCTCAAGGTTTATCAAAAAGCCATTTAAACCTCAGTGAAGAGTAATTTGTGTGAAAACAGTGCACTTAGGTAAATTTTAACGCTATATTTTAAGGCTTAGTCGTGCATTTGCTTAGTTTATCGGTAGTTGTGTACATTTTCAAACACAATTTTTTTTGTTGGTTTTGTTGTAAAACCATTAACTTACATATATGTCATTAAGAACAGGTATATTTCCAAACATAATCAAGATTGCAAAGGTAATCCCAGTGTATACATTGGGTTATACACATTATTTTACAAATTATAGACCAGTGTTCCTACTTTCAAAATTCTCTGTTCATAGTAAAACTCTACGTGGACAGGTTGGATTATTTTTAATGAGAAGCATCAGCTGTTGTTGGGTAGTCAATATGGATTTAGAGCAAACCGATAAACAACTATGTCACTATGTATAGATAGAAAAAAGTTTGCTGTAGAAGTATTTATCGATTTAAAGAAAGCTTTTGATTCTATAAATCTAATATACTGCTCAGTAAAATGGAAAGATATGGAATTAAGAGGGGTGGGATGGAATTGGTTAAAGAGCTACATTAGCAACAGTTTTGTGACGTTGAATGATTACAAATCAAACTGGAAATCATTTGTGGGGTGCCACAGGGGTCAGTGCTTAGACAAAAATTGTTTACGTACATGAATTATATTTTTAAAGTATCTAGACTTCTGAAATGGGTTATATTGGCAGATCTTGTTCTGGACACAATTTACAAAACCTAGTGGGTTTGGTTAAAATAGAATTAAACAAATTAAAAAATATGGTTTGATGGCAAAAAGTTATAATTTAATTTGAATAAAACTAAATTAGTGATATTTGGCAATCCAGAAATGGACGTACAAGTCCAACTCATACGTAAATACTGAAAGAGTATATGAAAATAAACTCTTGGGAGTAATTGTAGACAGTAAACTTTGTTGTAAATCACGTGTGAGAGCCAAATTAGCAAGGAACATTGCTGTGTTAGGCACAGAAAGACATTCTGGAACATGGAGAGTTGTATATCCTGCAATGTTCTCTTATATCTGGAGGTATGGGGAAATGCTTATAAAACAGCATTGCAGTCATGTATACTCCAAAAAAGGCAATTAGAATTAAACATAACGTGTACAGAGAACACACAAATGTATTATTTATAGTCTTGAGATTACAGATTTAGTTTAGAACCGTTCAAGTATTGTATAAAGCAGAAAGAAAAAATTCACTTCCTGGTAATATCCAGAAGATATTTAACAGAGGAGACTAAAAAGAAAATATATTTTTACAAAAGGCTACAAGCGTGAATTTAAAGAGCATTTAATTTTGTGGTGTGACTTGTTGACTGGTTTAGATGATGAAATCAAAAGAAGCAGATCTGTAGGTCAATTACAACAAGGTCAGGCTATAGAGCTGTGTAAGGGTTTAGGGTGGAGAGTGAAGGGTGATATAATTAAATTAATAATGCATTGTTGTAATCATACTGAAATTAATATATTTTGAATAAAAGGGCTAGATAAGCATGATTATGATTATCATATTGTTGTTACCTTTTTTCTTGTTTTATTTTTGACCAAAAAAAACTCATTAGCCCTGCTCAAGCTAGCTGTTAGCTTCCCCGCCAAAAAATAAATAAATAAAATCGTTAGTTTCTAGTTATTTTCCCTCAAACTGAGTTTTCATAAATATCCAGCATATTTATTCATTTTAAACGCAATAAATTAAATAAATAAACATTTAAATATTTGTCTTTACGTGCGCAGGTCTCGCATCCCGGATGTGACATCACTTCCGGATTCAGCTTCCACTTCCTGGTCCGTCTGGTTGGGATTGGATGAAGAGGCGATGTAGGGAATCAAAGCCCACCCTTTGTAAAATAGTCTTCCTCCTCCCCTCCAGGATCACACTGTCTCTTTATCTTTACTAAAACATGAAGAAGGCTGCTTGTAAGTACTTAAGAAGACACTTGTGTTAAATCACCCCAGGACACTGATAAGACAAAAAACACAAAGTGACCCACTCAGACTCGAATCAGAACAAATCAACCCACCTTTGATGGACATGGATAAAGACCTGAAGCACTCGAGGTCAAAGCTGTCGAGTCTTTTCCTCATCAAGTCAACAAACTCCTGTTTCCCCTTCACTGATGGGGGAGGACTGAAGAACTTGACTGGTTGGATAATCAAAGAACAGTGTTGTCTCGTTATAATTGGATATTTGATGTGAAAAATCAAAAGGTAGTTATCATTAGGGGTTTTTTCCTGGTAAAAACAAAGTGCACTAAATTGAATAACTTTTACAGATTCTATCTGTACAGCTTAATGTTGATTATGTCCGGTGTTTTGTCTGAACTTTGAAACGTTTTCTCTGAAATGTCAGCCATTACCAGTACATGCCAGTGTCTCGTTATGTGAAATTATAAAAAAAAATCTAACCAAAAAAGGTTTGAGAAAATAACTTGTAAAGTTTTTGTATGCCTGCATTTTTCACTAGTATATTTAAAAAATGCTCCCCCATTTAAGTTTTACTAAATTATACGCATAATTTATTTTATTTTGCTTAAAAATATATAAGCATAAAATGAATAAATCCACTTACAGTATGCCATTTTATTTTTCCTCCATGAATAAAGACGACTTTTCATTTTCAAAAACATGTTATTCAACACTAAAGCTGCCGAGTTGTGCTAATTTCTCGATGTCTTTGAATTTTAGGTGCTAAAACTCGAGCAACAATTGTTGAAATGAACGTTCTTATCAAAAGGCACGGTGGAATAGCATGTCTCATTCTCCACTTTTGTCATTGTTTGATTTATAAGAATATTACTGCAAAATATGTCTGCATTTCTCTACCTGTGAGGCTACATCAAAACACTGATGGTTGAATTTACGCAGCTATCAGTGTCGGAACAATTTCACAAAATAAACCACGAATCAAAAAAGTTTTTCAACCTTTCCCAGTTAAAGCTCTTTATTTTTCTTATTCAAATAACATCTGTCCGATTTTGAAAGTTTGACATTTTTGCTCCTGGTTTAAGCCTAGTAATAGTGTAAAATCATTTTTTGTATGGTCTGAACAGATAGCTTTGATTTAGGGGGAAAGGAAGTCGACACTGCCATTTGCTATTTAAAAGAATAAAAAAATGCAACAATGTGCTGTTTTTCATGATTTGTGCTGGATAAAAAAAAAATATATATATATATCCTTGTGTACATTTCAGACCGCAGAGTTGCAAAGTGAAGCAAAAACTACTGAACACTGATGAGTTTTTACTGTTTTCTCTGAGATAAAAGCCATGACAAGTGGTATAAAACTGTCATTACAGTGATTTTATTATAATGAACCATGAAAATAGCCAACCAGTGCAGTGTCTGTGAGTCTCTCTCCTCCACACGAACATACACTCACACACACACAAATAAAAAAAATAGACAAAAGTTGAATAGTCAATGGGGGGAAACGAAATAAAAATAATGCTACAGTCACAGAAACATTCAGCTTTGCCAAGAAGAGCGTTCATATTTACAACCATATTTCAAAATGGGATGGGAGCGAATTGTACAAGCGTAGAAAAGAAAAGCAAATATTTACAACCTGTTTCTGGTGAAAGCTGAAGTAACCACCTATACATTAAATTACACTTTCTACAAATAACCATTGATATTCAAAAATAAACCGCTAATATCCTACTTATGGGTGAGACCAGTCTGTCTGCCTCAGAAGACTACAAACACTCGATACACAAACTCTCTCACACACATGCACGCACACGAGCGCGCCCTCCTGAGGCAGAGAGGCGGGCACCCCGAAATGGATCTTTCCTGAATCTGCAGCAGTGAACAGATATTTGTTGTTAGACAGAGGATTAAAAAAAATAATTGTTTTTTTTTTTCTATACAAAAAGCTTTCTCTTTGCTATAATGAGCCACTAGAATAAAACGTTAACTTGTGTACAGGAGCAGACGACAGACGAGTAGGTATAAGGAGTAACTGATTTAAAAAAGGAGACAGGGAGGCTGGAATGTCCACTTTTAAACAAAGTGTAGGTCTTAACATGGGATTCCAAACGATACAGATTTCCTCTATCTTAGAAAGGATATTGTAAAAAACAAAACATATGGAGGCCAGAGAGAGGGCTATGAGCACCGGAGGGGGGGGGGGTCCATCTTCATTTCCTACAGTTTGTCTTGAAGATCCTTTTACCGTCTGTTTTCCTCGTTTTCTGTATTTTTCTTTTAAGTACCCATCCATCCCACAATCAGCTGTTTTTCCACTGGCCGTGTTGTGTTCAGGTACATAGAAAACTTATCTACAGCTTATGGTACACGCCCCTCTCAGACAGAGTTCTCAAGGGCTGAATAGGTGGGGGGGTGTCAATGCCACCCAGTGCTCAGGTACCCCGAGCTGTGGAATGGGGTCGAGGATGCAGGAGCTCCACGAGTCCCAGAAGGCATCTGGGGGGCAGTGGCCTGTGCCTGGCCTTGTTGAGTCTGTTGTGGTGGAGGCGGGGGAGGGGGAGGCAGTCCAGTCTGCTGAAGGGGTGGGGGGTACGTAGATGGGGGTACTGAAGCAGTCGCTGCAGCACCGGGGTGCATCAACGTCGGCTGAAACCCCCCTAAGTTCTGATAGTGGTGGGGCTGAAGCGGGGTGTTAGACGAGGGGGCAGGGGGCGGTGGGGGAGGAGGTGGGGGAGGGGTGAGGGACATAAGGGTGCTGCCAGTGGGAGGAGGCTGCTGCTGTTGCTGGGAGGTCTGTCCTTGCAGGGGCAAAGGTGGAGGTGGGGCGGTAGTCAGAATGAGCTGATGCTGCTGGAGGGGAGGGGGCTGCAGGTTGACGTGCAGCAGGGTAGGACCGGGCATGGGGTGCGGGGGAGGAGGGGGAGGAGGAGGGGGAGCAGCAGAAGTCTGATAGTGAACGCTGTGGGGCAGAGTCTGCATCAAGGGCTGAGAACACGGCACATAGGGCGGTGTGACGGCAGGTTTAAATCCCTGGAAGGGTCCGGCAGGGGAGGGGCTCTGACCAGGGAAATAGGCTGCAGAGACAGGCTGTCCCGGTGGAGGAGGGGGAGGTGGTGGGGGTGCGCTTTGTGTGTTGTACTGGGGAAAAGGAGCAGGGCCGGGCTGAGCCGGAGGCTGGTTTTGAGGCTGGTTTGAAAACAGCACCCTCTGGCCTCGATAGGGCGACCCCTGAGGCTGAGGTTTGGGGGAGTGGAGGAGGGAGGATCCTGGGTAATGGACAGGAGAAGAGGGTAACGGGGTGGGGTGCAGCTTTGTGGGGGTCAGAGGGGCAGGTTTGGGTCCTGTGGGCTTGTTTAGCGGCTGGCTGTTTGGATTCGGCACCCAGGATTGACCTTCGCCGTCTTCTTCGTTTGCTGGTCGACAGGAAGGCTGAGAGAGAGGACCAGGAGAGCAGGGCTGTTGAGGAAGGAATGGACAGCCGACATTAGTTTCACTTGAAAACAGCAACTACAAACAAGATTTGTTTACAAAGACATTTTTCATCCTTCCAGCCCACCAAAACAAAATAACATTTCATGGAAACAAAAAAACTTTTGCCTTTGATAATGTAAAAGATGGTCTCCACTTTTATCATGAGAAATTCAGAGTCTCTTTCTTTGTATACCGTATTTTCCACCATAAACGTCGCACCGCTCTGTAAGTCACATCAGTCCAAAAATGTCTAATAAAAGTGGAAAAATCCATAAATAAGTTGCTTTGCTGTATAAGTTGCATCTATTATGCGTCACCGCTGACAACCCGGAAACGTGGGCCGGTGTTGTGACAAAATCGATTGGTTGCCTAATGGCGACCACGGGAGTGTGCACCGGAGGACTTTAACAAGATTAACACTTAAAAACAATTATTTGTTTGCTCGACATTATAGCAAAGGTGTGTCTCAATCTAACTTTTACTTAATAAATGCACTTTAACGGTCAAATTATCTGCATTTCGCCGGGGCGGTGCAGCAAAATGAAGCTGACGGTTGCTCCAGACGAGCTGGACGAAGGTAGCAGTCCATGGCAAGCCGATTGTGTCATTATAGCCACTTTTACCTATTACATAACACAACGGCATGCCATACAACTTCAGTGCTATCTACCGGCTGAAAATGGTTGTGTTCAATATTTTCACTCAAAATTAATGAAAATGGTCATATCTCAGCCAAAAACTGGTTTATAAATATGGGGAAAAAAAACATAAGTCGCTTTGGTGTATAAGTCGCAGGACAGCAAATTATGCAAAAAACTGCAACTTATAGACCAAAAAATACAGTATCTAAAAACTGCCAAGAAATGTGAGCAGTTCATTAGAGATCTTTAATTTATAATGCAACATCATTTAGATGCTGCATTTTTAAAACACTTAATGAGCTGCGTTTTCTGTATATTTTGCAGTTCTGGACCAGTTTCAATATAGAAGGAGCAGAAATGGATCTTTTGGTTGTAAAGGTTACACCTGGAGTGTTAAAATGCATCCAGATGTGTTCGTTCGGGTCACTTACTGTGTGGGTTGGGGTTTTCTGAAGACTTGGAGAAGCACACTCTCTCGGTGCAGTCGTGTCGCCGCCTTCTGTCTCACCATCTAGTTACAAAAGTATAATATCATGAAGATGTACAGATTCTGGTCTTTTTTAAATAAGCTCTTTATTCTCACCTGCGTCTTTATCTTTGCTGAGCAGCAGAGCTCTGTGATAGCTGCGTTCTCTCGCCTGTTCTACAGAAGTTGATGACATCCTAAAAATAAACATTTGAAAGAACAGTTAACAATCTATGCTCTTGGTTCATTTAATAGTGAAAGCTACTAAAAAGTTTATTCAACAAAGGAACCAAAACATTTTGATGTTGTTTCATATCTGACAGCACGTACCACTGTCCTTCTCCTCCCTCCTTCTCTCCAGCTGCCTCCCTCTCCTCGTTCGTCTGAGGCTCATTTACGGTGGCGTTACTGGGAGCTGTGGGAGCAGGAGGTAAAGGAGGCTCGCTGGTCGATTCTAGCGCGACAGGAAAGGCGTCCACGGTCAAAGGCGGCACGGTGGAAACGGGGGAGCTGCACTCGGTCTTGGAACCGCTGCGACGAGCTTCTCTCTGTCGCTTTCGGTACTCAAGCAGGGAAACCTGGGGAGACGGAACAATGTCATGGTCGTTTCAACATTTCCAGAATTCGATGCAGTTATGTTAGTGCAGTTAACCTTAGGAAGAAAAAACGAGCTGATGTTGAGCTGCAATTTGACTTGTGAGCAAAGTGCACAGTCATGTTTAAACAGTGGAGGGCAGGGTTTGAACAGCTAACTCCACGTGTCTGTTCAGGCCCAATGTAACAACATTTAATCCACTTTGACAAAATGGAAAAACATGTTTAAGACTTAATCCATAAGATTTATCATTCAAGTTCAAATGCAAAAATGAGATTTGTTATGGAACCTACCTAATTATGAAAAAAATATTTTCTCTTCGTTTTATAACCTTTTTTTGCTCAAATAATTCCTAAATATTAATATTCACTCACATGTAAAGAATAAAGTCCACTTTTCAAAGATGAAACCTCACCTTTTTCTTTTGTGGAGGGTTCTGTGCCGACCCTCCATCACAGCTGCCGTCTCCGTTCAGTGAACGCGAGAAGGTGAGTACAGTCCCCTCATCAGAGGAGCAGGGGTAAAAGAGCTGTCCCTGGGCTTCATTAAACGGAGGCTGAGAGCCAGCCAGTGACCCTGTTCCTGCTGCGGGCCCAGCTGAGGGCTCAGGCCTAAAGGGAGCTGCCAGGGGCTCCAGGGTATGAGAGGGGGTGAGGTCTCTTAAGTTTGAGTTGACTGGAGAGAAGTTCAGGCCAGCTGGTCCAGTCGGGCCTCTGTCCGGGCTTTTGATCCACCCAGAATAAGAGGAAGCGCACGTTTCTACACTTAAAGAAGTCTCGCTTGCAGTTTCTAGGATCCCACCATCTGTTCTGTCCTCTTCGGAGTCCACCAACTCACTAGATGGAAGCTGTGGACTCTCTGAAACAGACACCTTGACTTCTGTTGAGACTCCATCTGAACTGGGAGCTCTGACGCTGGGAGAGGAAACCAATGACGGAGGACGATCAGCCTGGAAAATAAGAAAAGGAGCAACCACAGGTGAGAACTTTAATCACCTCATCTCATGTGTTAAATGTGACAAGGAACAGCTATAATGTACAACGGCTTAAACATTTTCAAAAATACGCTCATATCATTTTGGATTCTTTGTGTATTTAAAATTTTAATCCTTTAAAAGAACTGAGGGAATAGGAGAGCCCAAACACTCACAAAAACAATAATAGTGTCATGAACCATTTCCAAAATTACAACTAGTGCAAGAAATCAAAATACAATGACTATCTCACCTCTTGCACACATGGTTTCCGTGCAACCTCCGGTGAATTGTCTTCTGAAGATTCACTCTGCAAAATGCACATAATTAATGTTTTTCTTTCATACAAGAAGAAAAGAAAATCAATTAATACCTTAAAACAAGGACGCTTTAAACAACTTTACCTCCTGAGGTGCAATACATATGTTAGCCGGGGTGCTGGGCAAGGGCTCTGTATTCTGCTCCTCTGTTCGGGGACGAGGTGGGGTGGACAGTAAGGTGGGCGTTCCAGGCGTCTCGGACTGATCCGTCCGGGTGGGTGTGGCACAGGGGGAACCGTAGGGTGTTGAGCTCTCAGATATGCAGGCATCTAATGGGCTCAAACGCCGTTTTTTCAAAGGAGTGGGCAATTCTGACGGAAACAAAAACGCGTGCTCTGTCACACAATTTGTCTGAAAAAGGCTAACTAACTTTAAGGTTATCTGAAATGTCTTGATTTTTTATATTTAAAAACAACTATTTTAGTTAAAGATTCTGTACTTGTGATTTGCATCATAAAAGTTGAATAGATTATAGATTTATGTTGGGATTATAAAGACAGGAAAATCTTAAAATTTCCTAAATGGTTCAAAACATCTGCAACGTTTGTTTGTGTTTAAACTCAGACAGGCATCTCATGAAGACCTACCTGGTACTGAACAAGCGCCGTTGTAAAGGACTGGACTGTCTGAGTCACCGTTAATAGAGGGGCTGAGGGGGCCATCGCTGGCCATTAGAAGGCTAGGTCGTCTGGCTGGGCTGGTAGACCCCTCCTCCTCTAAGGCCTGCTTCAACCATCGCTGAAAAAAAAAACAAAAACACCCACACAAGTTCAGTAACCTTAGGTCCAGTCAAGCCAAAATTGATAGTCATGAAATGAGGGCAAACCTAGCTGTGTTTTATTCATTAAAGACTGAAAATAAAACTTTACAAAGCTGGAACTGGTACCTTCTTGCAGGAGCCAGTGGTCGTCGGCGTTTCTGGCAGCTCTCGAGAGCGTCGTCTCCCTGTTGGTACTCCAGGTGTGGTGGGGCTACGGTTTGCCAGGAAGGGGGACGAGAATCGGACGTAGTGTTTGGGTGTGCTGTAGACTTGCGGAGAACAGGTCATGCCTGGTAAGGCATTTAGCTGCGTGGCGAGCACTTCAGGGTCGCTGCTTATTCTCAGCGGCCTCTCTGGGGCTGGTTCTGGTGTCTGTACTGCACCACGGTCCTGCTGTTTCTCCCCCACCCACTCACTCATAACGACCTGTTTGAGGAAAGATTGTTAATACTTAAATAATCTAAAGGGTTTTATATTGCTTTGTCAAACAAATCTACTCATTTGGTTAATCACATTATCATTTAGAAGTAGATATATATTTTTTTATTTATTGTTGATGTAAAATCTGAAGTGCACATATCGGTTTCCTTCTGAGTTTAAACGGAGCCTGAACCTTTTTTGTTTTGAAGGTCTTGCTCCCTGTGCGGTTCCTCTCAGGAGCAGGTGAGCTGCTGTGTGGGGGGCTGCTGTCTGGGACGTGTGAAGGGAAGGTCTCTGGCTCTGGTGCTGAAGGAGTCTCTCCTTCGGGGGCTTCACTGCTCAGAGGCTCTATAGCGGTTTCAGCTGGAGAACTAGGAGTCAAGTCGGAACAGGTGCTGATGGTGCGTGCTCTCCGACGCTGCTGGCCTATGTGAGTCCGGCTCCTTGAGAAACTTTTCCTGTTTCGTGATGGTTTCACCTTGGCCGGCTTCAGTCCTGGCTCCTCCTTTATTTCAAGTGGCAACTAAAAAAAAGACAACTTTGTATGTCAGATGCTCTAAATAACATTAGGTTTATAATCTTGTTAATGTTTACCTCTATTATTTGTCATAGACGAGCAAAGTGCAAGTGCTTTGACAAAGAGCATAATGGATTTGTTTGTTTTGCGCTTCCCTGCTCTCACCTGCATGACAGCTGGAGAATCTGCTGTTTCGGGTGTGGCAGGAGGTTCCTCCTTAATGTCACCGCGGGCTCCAACTTCTGTCTTTGTGCTGCCGATTCTCTCCAGGGCCTGCTCCCTGCGTTTCTCTCTCTTCTCCATTCTGGCAAAAGCTTGAAGAATGGCCTCCATCTTCCTCTCTTCTCGCGTCTACAGAGGGTCAGATGCGGAGATGGGAGGAGGGGTGAAGAGACAGGCGCAATTACGGTATTAGTCTCTAAAGAGGCCTGGAAGTTGCCCAGGTCTACACAGCATCAAGCAATTCTAATGCTGTGAAGATGCAAATGCAGACAGGTGAAGAAAGAAGCAACAACAAATAAAGAAGTAAAAGTTGTGTTGCAGATGTCGAATGTAAAAATGAGATAGAATAATAAAAAGCCATGTTGAGAATAAATATGACTTAGGAAACTATTGCAGTGCTAGCCTGATACAAAGGTTATTAACAAATAAAAGAGGTAAAACCAGTTTAGAAGGCATCTGCTGGTGGCTGCAGACAGCACGGCTTCGCTCAAAACCTCAAGACCAGTGTTTTTTTTTACAAGGAGTTTGCTTCTGCTGCACCTTTCTACTACTACCGACATGAAATATAGCACTGACTGACTGCGAGGGAACTATTTTCCATATTCTAAATGCACTTTCAGTATTTATCCTAAAGACTTCTTGAACATTTTAATTTCCTCCAAAGTGCATTTATGTGTTCACATGGTGCCAGCGGGACCATGATGCTAAAAGTTAACCTCACTGTCATCAGAACCACTCTGTCAATAGGACCATGCGGCTGTAGAATTATTTCTTTTTCACTTTTGGCATAATTTTTCTGTATTTTTGTTGCATGCTTTGAATAAATCCCAGTTTACGTTAGTTTTGGGGTCGGCTCCGAGCCCGACTCCGCTCGCTCTGCCGCTGTTGTTCGGTGTATTGTTTTGCATTATTAGTGACTGGCATTTATCTTAGTTTATATCTTAGATCCTTATTTACCGTTTCTTTTTTACACTTTATATTTTTGCTATTGTTGGACGTAACTGGGACCCTGAGTACACAATTTCGTTCCACCTCATGTACCACATGTGATGCGAATGACAATAAAGAACCTTGAATCACTGAACATAAACAAAACATCCAGAATTACCACTATTCTAACCTGCTGTGATGGACAGGTCAGCTACTATCAATATTTTCTAGCAAGAAAAAATAAAAAAGATATATCTAAAACAGAGTTACATATTTTCCACAACCTCCAACAAGGCCAATTAAAAATACAGAAGCTCTTCACTGCATCAAATAAATTATTTTTGGCTGTAAAAAAAAATTGCTGCAGTACTTTTCCAATGGCAAGCTGCTATGCATTTATAAGCTAAGACCTAAATAGTGACCATGTTTAAGTCAGGATTTGTTTGTAAATTACCATAATACAAACTTCATTTCAAAATCTCCTGGGAGGAATTTGGCAAGTAAAGTGATGAAATGTTTACATCCAGTCACAAAAAAACAACATTTAGACTGCATGTCCAAGTTAAAGGAGGTTCAAAAATCTGTTCAATATAATAGATTTAGCAAGAGCTAAACAACGAGCTAACAGACACCAGTATCTGTCCTGCACCTTGTTGCAGCCTGGATTATCAACATCCACAATCATCTGCTACGCTGGCGACCATCAGTGTGTGAATGCATGCTTCTTTGCTCCGGCACCAGATCACCCTTCGGAATCCCCTCTCTACAGAAAAAGACTTATTAGATCTCCCAAAGTCAACACAGCCCTAGCAACAGCTCTGCAACTTTCGTCTATCCGTCTTTGTAGCTGATTAGCTGAACTGTATGTTGCCCAAAGACGAATAAGCATTTACACCTTGGATCCACTGTGTGCAATGAAGCTGACTGCAGGGTAATTTCGAGTGTGTGTGTGTGTGTGTGTGTTTCAGTGCATCAAGCTTGTCTGCGTGCATGAGCCCATCTCTCAAGGACATGAGAGAAGAGTGTCTGATCCAATGATGGGCCATTTCAAACTCCTGTTTGCAATGAAGGGTAAGGAGAGCTGCAGTAAAACTTTAATACAAACATGTTAGGGGACTGTTTAAGCTTGCATTGAAACATAAAACCAGTTCTGCTTCTGTGATAGTAGGAGGTTGATTCTTATTAGCCCATTATTCTGCAGATTAATGAAAAGAAAACAAAACGATGAAAATAAACGTCGATGCTCAACGACAAACAAGCACAAAGTGTCAGTGCAGCAGGAGAGATTAATCACAGTTCAAGGAATGCAGAATATTAAGAATACAAAAAAACAGAACAAAACAGCAACAGGTGCAGTGACAGAGGTGGGAGTCCTAGCAGTGATGAATGATGAAGAGGAGGCTAGATTGATTGGAGAGAAGTAGAGAAAAGCTGCTCCTATCCAAGCCCTTAGACAAATATTTAAATCGGCACCAAGAGGAATAGAATGGTTTGATTTGTCCTTGTCTGCTGGGTGGTAGCATAGCAAAAGAAAAAGCTGTAGCCCCTAACTTGGTACACTTACCATCTTCCTCTTCCTCTCTGCAATCTGCTCCTCTGACTCCATCTCTACTTCATTGCTAATGGAGGTTTTGTCTTCTAGATCCTCAAATAACTCGGGATCCTGTAAGAGGAGGGGAGAGCCGAGTATGGCGCTTTCATCATGGCTGATAATTCAGTCTGATTACAGACTAGACGATAACGGGAAATTGAGGAGAGGTAAAAAAAAAAATTAAAAAGTAGGGGGAGTGGGGATGCTAAGGGAGTAAGCTGTCCATAATAATCATTCTGAACAAAACAAAGAACTAAAACAAAGCTTTTTGGGTAATCTGTTGGACAACACTTACATTCCTGGATGTTTACACCAGTTCCTTACAAAGCTTAGGCCATGTGATAAATTAGAGGAGTTTGGTAACAATCAAGCCCTATCTTTCTGAACTCAACCTTCTCAATGAGTCTTTATAAGTATTTGTGAGGTACAAGAAACACCGTTCACCTTGGCGGTTATGCACTACAGTCAGAAAAGTGGCGCTAAAGTGTCCTGTGGGATCAAATCCAGATTCTGGCACCAATATTTGTAGCATAGAGGGACGCATGTGAATACATATAGGGAGGATGGGGAAAATGGAATTCAACAGGATGCATATAAAAATGGTGAGTAACAATGGGAAAACACATGCAAAGATTGTTACAAACAAAACTGGAAGAATGGAGCATGGAGGGGACTATTGTAACAGAAATAGTGTAACATGTAAAGAGTCCAGAGTCAAACAAAAGTAATGAGTTAATTTTATACAGGTAATAAACTTACCTGGTTGTTTGAGATGGAGAGGCGAAGAGGAGAGAGTTTCCTCTGTTTGCCGTCACATATGCTTTTTCCCTTCCCCTCTCCATCTAAAGCCATGTTTTGGTTCTGGGCTTGGTCATCCCGGACAGAATCCTTGCGACTCCCTCTGCGTCTGCCTCCAGAACTTAAGTTCTCAGTGGGCTCTTGGTTGTGCTTCAGCACCGGGCATTCTGGGTTCCCCTTCACACAGGCACAGTCCACCTTGTATTTACTAAAAATTTAAAAAAAAATTAAAAAGATGGAGAATAAAACTATTTGCATCTGTGGTTTGGCATTTTGTTTGCAAAGTTTACTACGTTTAACTCACCAGTTGCAATAGTCGAAATCAAACCCAATTGTGATCTCTGTGCCTTTTGCGATGGGCCTCAGTGAATAAATGTATAAATGTAGCATGCCATCTTCAATGACATGCCGTACCTGAGAGAGCAAGGAATTATTAAAAATAAATAAATAAAATAAGTACTTTGTAACTGTATTGCGTTAGTTAAAAACAGTGCCGACAGGTGAACATACTTCAGAATTTGGGATGCAAGAACGTCGAATGAAACGCGCTTCGTTGCCAAAGCTGCGAGCGTCTACGCACATCTCCACCCCGTCAAACTTTGAATAAAATAACACAAATGGGTATGGCCTGCAAAGAAAAAGAGGTCAACGTAAAATTAGGAAACGAGTTGCATAAAATGCCACAACTACACTGTATCAAACTGAATCAATGAAAAAATAAAAAAGAAAGAAGAAGATATAAAGCTAATGAAAGATTAAGAAAAATGTTTCTGACGAGGCCCCTGACCTCTTGAAGAAGTAGCCGTTGGCCTCAAACTGCTGTCGAAGCATAAACTTTCCCCTGTACTCAATGATGAGGGAGTCTGGAGCCAAGTCTCGCACTGCCTTGAGGATTTTCTTGTTCTTTTGAATTTGACTCTAGATAAAAAATAACAATTAAAAAAAAAACAAAAAAAAACAGAAAATCAAACATGTCATAAGGAAAAACCCAGAGCATGCACCGATAAAATTATAAACCCACAAAAAACTAGTGCTGTATGGTAGTAGCATAAAAACGTGGGGAAGACATAATTTTTTTTATTTTTTACAAGGTTGTGCTATGGTTTATACCTCTACTGGGGGTTTGAAAGAAGCAGGGTGCGTGTTGTATGCCAGGCTCTTGCCGTCGCCTTGCTCTTTAACACGCAACAGGACCTGAACGTCTTCGCTGTACTGATTGCTGCTGGCTTCCTCGTAACGCTCCATCCATGTCTTCATTTTATTCTCCCACAGAGATGAGTGCTCAATTGGCTCCTGCTCTGGAGCTGCACCCTGGAAAAAAAAAAAAAACAGAACAGCTATTGCTTACACTGCAAGCTTTAATAGATGATTTTAAAGGTCTTGACGAACAGCAGCTGTGTGTTGCTTCTGCCAGTTTACCTTTACTCTGGAGGACTTTCTGGATCCCTCTCTGAAGGCCTGCATGGAGAGTAATCAAATTTAAAACATTACGTAAAAATAACTTAGAATTATGCACTATTATTATAACTGAATGAGTCAAAAATGACCTTTTTCGCTCGGACAGAGGATGCTGGAGGATCTTTTTCGCCACTTTTTTTACGCTTCTTATCAGTCTGCTTATTGCCAAGGCGCCCAGTTGTCAGGGTGATGGTGGTCGGTGTGTGTTGGAAGGTGGAGTAGAGCTCTAGTGGAACCTCATCTCCACTCTCTGTAGCGCTGGTGTCCCCATCTGAACAAACAAGTAAGCTATTAGGAGACCGTGCTGGACAAAGAGTCCAACATACCAAACTGGAAAAGACTGCAAGTTACAAGAAAATAAAATAAAGAACTGTAGTTTGATCTTTGCCCAGCAGGTGTCACTATGGGCCACGTTTAGATTGAGAAAGGCTTCCAGGGAAAGGATCATCACCCTGACAACTTACAACCTGCATTGTTCACCAATAAGCTGGCCATTTACTGCAGCAAGAAAATCACAAAAAGCAGAACTGAGACCTGTATCTTTGCACTATCAAAGAAAACTTATAATACTTAACATTTCACAATGAGAAATGTTGCTTTTGAAAAGAACAACAAAGTCTAGGGTTCCTATCCAGGTTTGTGAATCAGAGTAAAATGAGTTTTAATGAAGCCATGGTTGTGTGAATACATAATGGCATTTTTGCTTACCGGACAAGCACTCTCTTTTCCTGGTCTGAAGCAGGATGGCTCTCTCTCTATCCAGATGTCGTGGTTGGCACCGTTCACACAGGTAGGTCTCAGGAATGTTCTGCCGGTCAATCCCCATGCAGTCTATGTGCTGCCAGGCACTGAGAAAAACAATAAAATCCTGTTAATAAACTTTTAACTCGCTCTATAAAATGCATTAATCATTTATTTGGGCCACAGAGGATTGGCTGAAAAATGTCAAAGGGGACAGGAGCTGATGCTTGTGATAAATGTGTTCAGCCAGGATTTCACCTGCACTTGTCACAACAGATCATGTAGCCATCATCGTGGGTGAAGCCACAGATGCAGCGAGTGATGTCAGCCCCGTAGCTGCCATCTTCTGATGTACTGAGGGTGGTGCCCCTGGATGCTTCATCCTGTCCTCCTGAAACAAACAGCCCCCCCTCTCCTTGTCGGATCAGCATGGAGGGTGGAGGGGAGGCCGGCGGCGTAGGTGGGGGTCGCGCCCCATAATTATGGTCCTAAAAATGAAATAAAATGTACTGTTCATATAAAATATATATATACATACGGATTGTAAAATATATGATCTGCAGATTTTTATCTAATTCTTTAGACAAGCAAAAACTGTTAACTTTCTTTTTAGAAATAAATTAATTTTAATATTTTAAACTGAAAGAAAATGTTAACGTTTGGTCTAATGTTAATATATTATTATTAGCCTTACAGTGCTATTTATTTATGACCTTAAAAGATAAATTATAAATTAAAATTAATGAATCCATAGACAAGACTTATTACTTGAAGCGGTTACATTTAGCAGTAAGGACACTACCGTATTTTTCGGAGTATAAGGCGCACTTAAAATCCTTTAATTTCTCAAAAATTGACAGCGAGTCTTATAATCCGATCCGCCTTATGCATTAATTCTGGTTGTGCTTAATGACCTCGAACCGGTTTTATGTGGTTATTGTGAATGAGTTGAATAAAGTTCGACTTATCTGACTGTTTTGTTTCGCTTAATGCACCTTATAATCCAGTGCACCTTATAGTCCAAAAAATACAGTAATAATTTCCTGTATCACCACAAAGATGTAAAGAGTCAATTAGTCAATATTCTCTTTCAGTTTAAAGGAGAGCTGTTCGTGCTCTTAAGACACAATAAAAGAGTAGAGGATTTTAATTTATTGACATAAACCTAAAAATGTCATTCACTGGTCCTCATCTTATGAAGTGACACTGCACAATGAGAAAGCCACTATTCTTAGTTTTGGATTTGAAGAAAGTAAAAAACAGTAACTGGACATAGACTTTGCCCTGCTGCAGAGCGGTTTTGTTTAAAGTAGAACTGTTTGGAGTTGTGTGTACTTACAGCATACGGCAGGCCAATGTAACTGTGGGAATGGTGAGAACTGCTGCTGTAAATCTGGTGGGGGTAGCTGGACTTTTCCACTACCACAGGGCTGGCCTCCACCGATTCTGGTCTGTTGGGCAGCAACAAAAATCAGGAGTGTAAATAAAAATTACAGTTGACAGAAAAAAAAAAACTGATAAATTTATCGCACGTCACTTCTCCGATGTTTTCCCTCTAACAAACACAAAAATATACTACATGCACGCATGGCAGGAGAGATTTTTCAGGTTCTGGCAATGATATAGACATACAGTTGGTGGAAAATATTCAATAGTTAATATTAAAACCAGACTCTTACCGAGTCAGGATTGTTAAGAGACTAATTCTTGACTCAAAACTTGAAGAAAATTGTAAAAACTGCAAATTTTCAGTAGGTCTCACTGAATTCTGAGAGATTGTAAAAAAGCAATTTGCGAGTAGTGCAGCTGCGTTTGTGTGGTCAATTTATAAAACTCAAAGCCTATTTTGTGTGCACGTTATCCAAAACTGTATACTATGCCAATGGTTCCCAAAGCTGGGGTCAAGACCCATCCACCCATTAACTTTACTCGCTTCTTCCTTTTCAGGTCATGGGGGCCACTGGTGACCATATCCGGCCCCACTATGTTTAACAAAGCATTAAGTTTGTAGGCTTTGGATGATAAAAAAAATAAAAAAAATAGCCAAATACATTTTTTAGTCCTACTGTTTATGAGAAATAAAATGTATTAGTACAATAGTGTTGTGTGTCATTATTGCTCTTAGTTAATAGGCCTAATTGTAATGATTGCACTGTTTATTCCACATTTAAGCCACAAGTTTGAAAAAAAGTTTTAGGCCATGTCCTTTATTTTGTTGCCCACTTTTGCCACATCATGGCCACCTCAGACCACATCGTACCCACCTTAGCTGCAGCTACCACATTTGCAATTTAATGTACCGGAGAACAACTTTTTGGGGGGGAAAGGAGCAGATTTGGACCAGTGCATTAATAGTTTTTAATCATCTGTATGGTTTTTAGACTTGGGACATTTGGGGCCTTGAACGTCTCTTCTCCTCCTCCTCTTTCATTCAACCTTTATTGATACAGGCTGGTCTCAGCCACGAGGGCTCATTTACAAGAGGGACCTGTTCCTTGAGACGCCCACAACAACTTTGTTACTATTTGAACAAAATTTATTGCACAAATGTTTGGAAGACGTTTTAAACTCAAGTGACGAGACTGACAGCTTCTGTAACACCCACAAGGAAACCGAGAGCCCCCACAAATATCTGAAGCCATTTTGGAGACCTCCAAAGTTTGAAGACCCCCGTGCGAGTGCCTTTTACGAGCTAGTCGCAGCTAAGTAAGATACTGGTTTAAGGAACTGCATGTTGTCATGTCACCTCAACTATTAAGCATAAAAATATAAAATTATGCTTTCATCGCTCAACTCGCATTCACAAAGCAGATGCACATCAGAAATATTTACGGTTCCTCGTGCACACAAAAACAACGTAGACATGTTTTTAGTAAGTCTATTCATGCCAAACCTGTAGATCCACTTTCCTCAAGTTCACAGCGCAGCTGATAGAACCAGTTTAACCTACCCTTATTATGGTATGAATAATCTATTTTTCAGTTGCTGAAGGGGTGGGTGCTAGAGGAAGAAGATTATGGAGGTGGCAAAATAGATGGGGTGAGAACATGGTCAGGCATGAAGGAGGGGAACGGAGAAAGAAAACAACATGCGGTCCACATGTTCAGTCAAGTGAACACACACATGACCCTTCTTTTAACAGCGTTGCACAGAAAACTGCTCAAAAATCCTCTGTAAATAAAAACATGCAAGAGTGTGGGTATGTGTAACGGGTTTGTGTCTTGTGACAATAAAAAATGTTAAAAACTTTGAGAGGGCCATAGCCAGCAGGGTTTGTTTAACAAGGCAAAATTCACTTAAAAGGCCTCCATCTGAATAAAAACATACAATACTCTCTGAAGTGGCTGTGCATACTGGTACAAGAGTGTGAATTAATAATTGACTAATTTTACTGTTCAGTTAGGACAGCGGCATTGTGAAAGTTGTATAGGTGAATTAAAAAAAGATGTTCAAATATTTCTTTTTAAAACTGAACATGTGTCCTTACAATCCTATTAATTCCTCAGCCCAGCTCCGTCTTAAGTTCAAGGTAATTTAGTGCTACAATACCTGTGTAAGCTCTTCTCAGCCCTATTGCTCTTCTTGCACGCCGTAAGAGCACTGTGCAACACTTCCTGTGCACTACCACTCAACTCTTCCCCGTCAAAGTGAAAACGTAAGTGTGTGCATGAGGTCTGGAGGCGGTGCCAAAGAAAGGGGCGTGTGCAAACACATCAGATCAACTGCCACATAGATAATGTGAATTGTGTGTGCAAAAAGTTACAACTAAAAGACCATTCAAAACATGCCACAGACTGCAACTTGTTAATTAATTTTTTTTTTTTACTTTTTTGTCTGCGTTTATTGTTTGTTTAAATTTTTATATAGATTAACTTTTTAGATCAAAATACAGAAAAGATGAACACACAGGCAGTGACTGTATGAGAGACAAAGAATGCAGGTAGGCCAGCTTGGTGAGTGAAAGAGGAAGCACATTTGTGTGCATAATGCAGCTGAAGAGATTCTATCATTCATGTCAGTACTACTGAAATGTGTAGTCAGTACACACGGGCTGGGTTGCAGGCATACATTCAGTTATGATCATCTATTGCCTATAGCATGTAGCTGAAAATTAGTAAGAGCGTGAATAAGTTTCAATTAAACTTTAGATACTGGTCAGGCATGTGCTACTGCTAAATATAGTTGATATTTTATGCATTTCAAAAGAGACAGCTGTAAAGCGAGCCTGAAGAAGCAAAGTGGGAAAAGATGGAGAAATTAGGAGCATAGAAAGATCAGACTCCTGAAGAGACCCTACTTGCTGCTATGGCAACACAACGTATCCTGATAGCGAGAGCATGAACGCCAGACTTTGTCAGTTTGGACATACGCTGCATTAGCCCACAGCTGGTCATGCTGCTGCAGACTTCAGGGGAACATGAAAATGACGTGACTCTGCTCTCTGGTGAGTAGCCAGCCCTACGCTTCCAGACTCAGCTGGCACTCTAAATTGTCAGCGGAGCAGAGTGTATACGAGCGTGTCCAGCTCCGCTCTGGCTCTCTCTGGTCTGGACTGAACCTGGGCAGCAGCCGGTGAAATCCCCCTTCAAGCCTGTTATCTGCTTCTGAATAAATTTGCAGCGAGCGATCGGACTCGGAGAGCCAACATGAAGAATAAGTCAGGGAGGGTTCAAGTCGGCTTTTCCAAACCGCTGGTGGCAGCAGAGCTCTGCAGAAATGAGGGGTGGGAGGGCAGGGGGACACGCTGAGACCATTTAAGACGCCATATCTGTGCGAGGACCACCTGTCACTCAGGGCAATGGCTATGGCAAAAAGCCATGCGCAGTGCAAAATGGAGGGAGGGGAGTGAGGCAGATACCATAGCAACTCAAGCTGTCACGGCAACAGCTCTGATGAAGGCAAAGGGGTGGGCTGTCCCTCCTTTAAAGAGACAGAAGCCCCTCCATAAGTAGATGACGTGGGTTATTCTTTAGTCATATGCGAATGTCTTGCTTAATTTATTCAACCAGGAAAAAAAAAACAGCAATGTCCTTGACAAGACTATGGAAACGAAGAGGAGGGGCAACAGGAAGCTTGTTGCCATGGCTCCAAGCATCATTTCTGCTTCACTGACTGAATGCAGTGTACACATGGGCAAACATCAAGCTGCAGCGTTGGAAACGAAGCACTAAAGTCACATTTTTTTTATGCTTTGGTTGTACTTTACAGAGTTTTACAAAAACAAGACACACTGTGGGATTATTAACAGTTCTGAGTGAGCAATGTTATAGATAAAAGCCCAACACTACGTCTAGGTTACAGGAAATGGTTGAGTGCAAGTCCAACCAAACAGGACTGTCCTTTGGACCAGAGCTGAGGTATTTTACAGTAGGCATGTTCAGGCATAAGAAAAAATAAACGAATAAATGAAAAACGACTGCGGAAAAATATAAATATTGCAAAAACAGCTTCAAACATGTGACTGACACCACAGATAGGTGAGGTAATGGAAACAGAAGCAACCAGCAGGTGGGGATTCAAACTGAAAATGCAAGTTTAGCGAAAGCTCAGACCAGAGATGCAGGACTGGATTAAAGGAGGTGTGTGTGTGTGGGGGGGGCGGGGGGGCTACTGTCCATTTTCCTCGGGGGGGGGGGGGGACTGTGTGAACAGTAGTACTCACTCTGAGCCTGCAGCCATGTCCAGGTATGAGGTGTCTGCTGTGTCCACCCCTACTGGGATGACTATGCTCATGACGTTCTCTGCTGATCAGTTCTTGTCCTACTGAGTCCAGAAAAAGGGAGTCCAAAACACTGAGGCATGCCAGCCACAGCAGTCATTGCAGACATCTAAGTGCATCCACAAGGCCTAAAAATGTGAGTGATGGAAAGAAAGGGGGACAAACAAACAAACAAAATAAATCAGCTGATTTTATGCAACAGCATAAAAAGACAATGACTAAAATACTTTATTCATTCAATGAACAAAGAAATCTGCAGCACTTTTGAAACATGAAATTACCAATCATAGTGAGAACGGGGTATTTCCAGCACACAATTCACAATTTGACAGAAAATTGTTTGCCAGGACTTCCCCACTTTCCTGACAACGAGACTGATACTGACAAGTGAAATGCACGAGGGTAAGATTTTTAAAGTGAAGTCCTGAGAAGCTGCAGCGACCTATACGCACTATCAGCCAGAGGAATGAATCGAGCTGCACTGCAAAAAAAAAAACTCCCACAGAGGGGAGCAAGAGAAAACAGCAGCTCCACGTCGAGAACACAGGGAGGAAAATGGAAAGTAGAGGCCAAGCCACCCCCACCCCAAATTGGACTGAAGAGGACAGCTCTACCCTAGACGCACTTTTATTTACTCTGCTGTATTTAAATGTTCACACGTTATTTATATGAAAGTCCCTGTTTTTAAGATGACTGCCATTAGCTACACATCGATAAAAGCAGCAATATTTAATTGTGTCCCTAAGCAATCGGATGGGTAATTAATAAACAATGCACAAAAAAAGGGTTCAGATGATATTTTTAACTCGTGTTTGCTTCCAATATGAATCCAGACAGGAGCATGTGTCAGTGCTGCTGTCCCTGATACAGAGAGCTCGGTTGATAAGCAGGATTAGTGGGAGGGACAGATGCTGAGACAAAATAGGCTGAAGGTCACACCTCCGCCTGTTCATGCAAACTGCGGCTAAACTAAACCTCAAATCACAGTTCGAGGTGCAAGTTCAGATCAGGTATTGAGAAAGGGCACAAAAAAATCCTGTCTCTGCTCGTCCATGAGGCTCCCAGAAGAAAGAATGCCACTATGCGAGCCTTTTGAAAGCCTTTTACAAATACATATCTGCACATACCCAGTGTGACTTGTGTGGAACGTTGTGCTTCCTGACCATGTTAGCAGTCAGCGCTGACTGCAAAACTAATTGATGGTGAGGATAAACAAAACTGAAGGAGCCTCACTAAATGTCACTCAGTTAATAGGGTGTCTCTGAGCACTAATTATCACAAACTACCTGAGCAAAAACTAGTAAGTTACAGATATGACAGCTGTCAGTTCCAGGGCCAAACAAAAGAAGAAACAAAACATGAGTGAGCCTGTGTGTCATGCAAGACTTCTGACAGGATCCCCTTTCAAATGCGCTCCTGGTTCTGTATGCAGCGACCACCTTTAACATAACTAGATGAGCATTTTGTGAAGGAAGCAGATGTAACCGAACACTTCATTTTGACAACAGTTGGGCAGTTTGCCAAACAGACTGAACCATACAGACTAGGGGTGCACCGATTGCAGTTTTCTGGCCGATCACAGACTTCTAAAAAGTCTGACCTGCTGGCCATGAGGTAGTGCTCTGGAATATAAATGAAGTTCAGACAATTGTTGTTAAAACATTTTTTTTTTTTTCTAAATTGGTAAAATCGGCTTCTCATGCGAGTATCCGCCGATTTCCGATTTCCCAAAATTAAGGAAATCGGGGCCGATAAATTGGCCAGCCGATTTATCGGTGCACCCCTAATACAGACCCTTTCTGTATTAAGCCCTCAGAAGGGTCCAATGTAGCGGCACAGAAAATAAAAGATCTGTGTCCTAAAGCGGCTCGTTTACTCTTTGTACGGTAAACGTTATCACTTTTATGCTAAATGTCTAAAAAAAAGTTAAATCTGGTCCTCTGGACAACAAAACAGATTTAACTTTTTTTTTTTTTTTTTTGATTTTTCTACCTGGATTATTGAGCATGCATCAGGATATTTATGCTAAATGGTTAGCACATTCACTTCAGGTGGTTGTTAACCAGTCTTGAAGAGCAATTTATGGACACTAAGAAAATTGAAACGATTCTGACGGTTTATATTCCTGTCTGGATGAACACACAGTAACATGATGTGATTGATCACCAGCTTTCCAGCTATAATATTTAAGACCTAGCACTCCTTGAAGGAATTCAGATCACCTGTTACCTTTCTTTTTTTCATTTCACCTTTATCCATCCATCATCTTTTACCCGCTTCTTCCATTTTGGGTCACGGGGTTCGCCGGTGCCCATGTCCAGCAGTCATTGTGCGAGGGGCGGGGTACACCCTGGACATGTCTCCAGTCCATCACAGGGACACATAGAAACAAAAGAGACAAACAACCATTCACTCTCTCACTCACAAGTAGGGGCAATTTAGAGTTACCAATCAGCATAACATGCATGTTTTTGGTCTGTGGGAAGAAACCGGAGTACCGGGAGAAAACGCACGTTTGCACAGAGAGAACATGCAAACTCCACCCAGAAAGGCCCCCGGACCGGGATTTGAACCAGGGACCTGCTCGCTGACAGGCAGCAGCTCTACCAGTTGCGCCACCGTGCTGCCCCATTTCACCTTTATTTCATAGTTAAATCTTCATGATTTATTTCATGCCAGAGAATTAAACAGAGATCTTCTCCTGCCGAAAAGCAGATTTAGCGGTTTTCTTCAAATCTTATAAATGGATGGTCTTGGTGATATGATAAGATAAAACTTTATTGTATTGATATTGAGAGCTTGTGGGAGTTGAGGATAACTCTCAGTTACATCTATGGTAAATTTAGCTCAAAGTCTGTAAACCTGACTGAGCAACATTCATTTGATTTTTATTACGGTAAGTTTTTCAGAGCTGTGGTAGCCATCTTGAATTAGAATAACTACAAATGTTGAAGTAAAGACAATGTTTACTTTCTGAGAGTTTCATTAAAATAAGTCCAGTGGGTCATGAGACTGAGACATAGCAATAACAAACTAGGTTCAAACCAACAGATAATACCAATGTTTTAAGCAAAAATGATGTGCAATGGGTAGCACTTGGAAGTATATACTTCAGGTGATGCTCAGCTACCACATAGAATTTTACCTTAATATCTAGATAACAAGCTGCTTGTTTCCTAAGGTCAGTTGGATGTGATGGAAAATGTAACTGGTCCCAAGGGTTAATTAGTAGTACCGTAGATGTACTTCTAGTGATTATTTTCTGTCAGTTTCAGTAAAATCAGACAAATGGACACACACAAATACACTCGCCTTGACAATCCAGCTGGTGGCAACATCTCTTTGCCCTATTTGCAAGTCAGTTTATGTTGCTGAATGCCATTTGTTTTTTTATTATTATTTACAAAGTTTCATTACCAGTAAATGGAAATCCAACTTGTGTATATTTGCACTTTGTTTAGAGCGTCATATGGTCACTTAAAAGAAGTGTACACACAAAAACTCATGGTCACACATAAGACAGCCCCTCATCTCACAGAAACTGATGACATTCTGCCCTTTCCCTTCAAACATTGCTCAGTAAAAAAAGGTTCTCATTGTGTAAACATGCGCTGAAGTCCAACATAGTCCACGCCGACGAAAGTCGAAGAAAAAAAAAAAAAGAAGTACAGAACAGCCACATTCCTGACTAAATCTGAGCTTCGCTGTGACTGCCTCCGCCTGCTCCTCCTACTTCCTCTAGAAGAGCAGCCCATCACCATGGAGAAACGCAACCAAAAGGGGAAAAAGTGCCCCTCCCTACCCTTCCTTCACCCAGTCACCCCGCCCAGACAGATTTTTCTCTCTCCTCTATGCACTTCCTAAATAAACCTCAGACAGTAACGCAGAACTGAGAGGAAGGGGAGTGCCGCAGAAACCGTTCCTAATCACAAGAAGGCCGTTACATATTAAAACCACCTTTGGCTGAATCTACAGCTGGTATGAAAACGGGGAGACAAGCAGAGGGTTTGGAGAATAGTGAAACAAACCTAACAATCTAAAAAAAAAGGAAACAACATAAGAGTGTATAGTAGTAAAACAAACCACAAGATAGAAGTGGTTCAGGTAGTCTCAACCTTTCATTTCTGTAAAGTTTTTCTTCTCACCAATATTTTCTCTGTAAAAGGACCTGTGCAAATCACCAAAGCTCCTCCATTTGAGAGGGCAGTGGGGTGGGGGAGGTGAACAAGGGGGCTGTCTGACAGTGATGCTACACAGTCAGGACCTGGGTGGACTCTGGGTGGCAGAGAGGAGCACGTAGCATAACCCAGTCTCTTTTTTCCCCCCACTAAACACAGTCACATTATTGTGTATGGAATAGCTTCCCATTTAGGAAAGTACTGCAGTGAAAGGCAGTGAGGGAAAACCCACCCCATAATATATAAATTATGACACTAAAGTAAACAGCTTTCCTCTCTGTTTTTAGCATAACCATGTTTTCATTCTTGATTTCACAGTCAAGCCAGATTACGCCTGTAGATAAGTGGAAGGAGCAACACAAAATAAGGGATTTCAACTAAATCCCATAGCAACCATTTCCAAGCTAATGCGACTTTACACCATCTCTATAGCTAACTGCAATGACTCAGCTCAGAAACTATTGAAACACGCACAAATACATTCATATACACAGGAAGCTTGACCCAGATAAGAGCACAGACTTAGGCCTCTTTTTTCCCCACTATTGTGTGCCCACTGTGGGACACATTCCATCCGCCTTGCCCTTCATCAATCAGTGTGCCCATGGCTGCCAGCCCACCCCCCACTCCAGCCCTGAAGGTGAAGTCATACATCAATACAGCAGGGAATATGGATGCGAGCATCCACACAAGCAAATGTAGCCACAATAGGAAAAAAAAGCGTGTTGTTGCATGTGCAAAGCAATACCCCAGACGCTAAAGCCCACAAGATATACATCTTACAGGGCAGCATGTTTGTCGTAAAGAAAGTGGTTATTCTACCTGCTGATTTGTTCATTGAAAACAGTCACTGGAGAGTAAAAACATCGTTATAACAGTTGTGCCTTGAGTGTTGAAATGTTTAATTTTTTCATCACATAAAATTACATGCGACGAAAAGAACATGTTTT